AAGCAGAGTCTTTGTAGGATAAAATGGGGGGCCAGTTGCAATTTTTTATGTCACGCAATATTTGCGCAACTGTTTATCAAATACATATTTTTAGGAAAAGGATACACCAAAGTTAATTGTAGTGCGCACACACAACACCTTTTTTTTTCGGGTAAAATAAATATAAAAGCTTGGGTTGCGTTGAGTAAATAAATACCAAACATGTCAAGCATTAAAATTGCATGTCTGTGAAATAGCAAAGAAAAGATGGTATCCCAAATTGTCTATAGGCAATGCTTTAAAAGCCTTTATATGTTCTCAGTTTAGAGTTAACTGTGAATTGTGGCTCTTAAATTTCTTGCTTACTTTGACTTTCCTGGTGATACCTCACATGCGTGGCACAATCACCGTTTACATATGTACGTGTGCACTCTATGTGCACGTTTGCATTTGTGTGTGTGGGCAGGGCAACGAGGGGTGCTTTTTACATTTTCTAAAATTTATTTTTATTTATTTTATTTCCTTTTTTTTTCTCTACATTTTTTTTTAATTTACTTTATTACTATCATATAGGAGTACCAAAACCCCCTATGTGATAGCATCAGGAAGGTGATAGGTTCTCTTTATGTGGAGACATCAGGAGTCCATTACACTCCTAATGTCTCTCCTGCCTCTCTACTGCAGGTAATCAAGCTTGATTCGCTGCTTCCTTGACTTCATTGGCCAGGGTGTGACAACCGTGAACCCAGAAGTAATGAAAAAGAAGTTTTAAAAACGACGTGACTGTGTGGGGCTCCTCCTGTGTAGCCACATAAGTAATTTACTCACAGGGATCTGTGAAAGAGAAAACTACTGGCTGCCTCAATGAACTACCAGGTTGCTAATCAGCACCCTTGTAGTTCACTGAGTTCCTGTAGCTGAGTAACTGTCTGCTCATGCAGAGATATGAGCTCTCAGCAGTGTTTGCAGGAGCCTGACATTGCACCCACGATTCATTGATTGCAGGTGCAATGTTCTGCAGACTGAAGCGTAAAAAAAATACACTTTTTTTTTTTTACCTACAAAATCATGTGCATTTTATATTTTTGTACAAAAGGTGAACTCGACTTTTAAAGCGAAATTTCAGCAATTGCAGCCTTTGTAAAATAAAAAAAAAAAAATAAAGTCTAGCTTTATAAAAACCGTTGGGTCTCTGATGCAGCAGCTGAAGAGTCTTTTGCAGCCTCTCTGCTCACTTTCCTTCTTCTCCTCTGTCCAATCACTGAAGGCTTTGTATTATGTGAACCTATTCACCAAATGCAAAGTGTTCTGTAAATGGACAGCAGAGGGAAGGGACAGACAGAGTGGTTGCTCTGTAGCAGAGTGCATCTCTGCTTTCAGATTGCCAGAAATATAACAATACCTGTACCCCTGCCACTCAGTAAAAATGTAAATACAAGTCCACATTTTGGCATACATTTTGTTGGACTTGATCCCTTTTGTAAACTAACATATTTTAAAAATCTAAATACAAGCTTTCCATGATTGGACAAGAAAAGAGGGGCAGCCAGAGCGGCTGCAGACGACTCTACAGCTGCTGTATCAGAGACCGTAAGGTCCAGTGTCAGCTGATTGAAAGTATAGCAATAGTGCGAAGTGAAAATGTAAATGGTAAATAAGAGAGGTCCACGATGTGGCATACACCCCCTTGGACCTATCCCCTTTATAAAGCAGCATATTTGTAATATTACTGCAATTCTTGGAGTTACGCTTTAAAAGCAACCTAAAATACTCTACCTTTTCCAGATTGCATACTTGCCTCCATATTGTGGCTTCCAGTAATGTTTACATCATTCCATAATAATCTTCTCTGCACTGGCAATATCTGCAAATTAGATCCTCTTACTCTTTTATGGGACTGACTGCTGTAGCCAAAGATACTGGGGAAGGGGTTCTATAGTAGTATATGGGGTTCTGCTGCACATGAGTAAATGATTTCAGATTTGATTGCTGATGGCTTATTTTTAATGATATTCAATTTTTAAGGTCCAGTGCAAGGAGAGCCTACCGCTAATAATAGATGATAATCCTTCTGAGGTATGTTTCATCAACATTTATTTTTTTATAGTGGGTTTTACGTATAGCTGACCTAATTTATCTCTAACTTTTTTTTTTTTTTTTTAATTTTTAGAAAAAAGAAAGAAATGGTTAATGCTACCGTATGTCCGTCTGTAAAAGACAATGTAAGTAATCTGGTGCATTTGCTGTTGCACTTTGTGTATATGTACTTAACCTATTTAACATTTTAATATAATCAATTTCTAGTGCAGATTTCCGATACATCTATAAAATAATTTGTGTTTGTGTTATACAGGGTGAGGCAACATAACTTCCTTTTTTCAAAACGCAAATAAAACCCATTTTATGAATCAGAATTGTGTTTCATGACCCTTACCAGCATAGCAGTGGGTATGTTGGCAATTTCTGCGCGGATATTGGCCTTCAGGTCTTGTAGGGTCCTTGGACGGTTTACATAAACGCGGGATTTCAAAAAACCCCACAAAAAAAAGTCGCAAGGGGCCAAATCGGGGGAGCGGGCTGGCCACTCTAAATCGCCCCTTATTGAGATGAGGCGCTCTGGGAAGTGTTCCCTTAAAACAGCCATTGATGCTCTTGAAGTGTGAGCCGTTGCTCCGTCCTGTTGGAACCAAATGTCCCCTAAGTCCAATTCGTCAAGTCGTGGAAAAGCAAATTCCTCCAACATGTTCACATACCGGTCTGAATTCACTGTCACTGTGACCTCATTTTCTTCAAAGAACCAGGGACCAATAATCCCAGCTGAGGCAATTGCACACCACACTGTGACTTTAGATGAATGCAAAGGCCTTTGATGCAATTCTCGAGGATTGGTGTCGGCCCAGTAGCGCATGTTCTGTTTGTTGACGCATCCAGTCAAGTGAAAATGGGCTTCATCACTGTAATAAACAATTGCGTCCTTAGGGACGTTTTCGAGTACTGCCTCACATGCGTTCCTCCGAGAATTGAAGTCGCGTTCGGAGAGTTCCTGTACAATCGCCAACTTGTACAGATGGTAATGAAGGTCATCGTGAAGAATTCGCCTCACTGAACGATCCGAAAGTCCAAGGGCAGACGCATGTTTGCGCGCAGAACGCTGCGGGGATCGCAAGATTGAAGCTCTCACTGCCTCGATGTTCTCAGGTGATCTGATGGGTCGAGGGACTCCAGCTCTTCGTCTTATCGTACTTGCGATTTGTCTGAACGTAGTGACCCATGTAACAATTGATTTCTGGTCCAGAAAACTTTAGAACTACGCCTGTCGCCTGAGACCACTCCCGCCCCGCTATGGCCGCTACAGCCTGAATGGCACGCATTTTAAAAAAGGAAGTTATGTTGCTGCACCCTGTATGTGGAGGGTTCTGTATTTACAGCTCATCTATCTCCTTGTTTTATTTTATAATTTTCACCATAGTTTTTAAAAAAATTAGACAGGAGACCCATCTAGTTCTGAGGAGCAAGTGGAAAGCCTGTAGATAAATGGTCTATCCAGAAAACATTTTGAATAAGCTTTACTTTTCATGAGTTCTGTTGATTTACCTCTGGACTCTAATAAACAAACAAATTAGGGATTTATTGCTGGGTCTTTGGCAGCTGTTCAACCTTTCAATCCTAAATGTATTAGTGTTCTGAAATAACAATGGAAGCATTTGTCTTTGGAACAGAGAACGTGTGTAGGTTTTTTGAAGTTCAGTTGTAGTTTTCCAAACACAAAACAAGCTACAACTTAATTTGCAAATATATAAAACTTACTAAAGTCCTAAATCATAAAGGCTGGATGTACTGCCTCATGCTGAAGGTGCTGAAGAATAAGCTGCACAATTACCACATGCCATGTAAAAAAAACCCCACAAAGAATATGTAAACCCAACATTTCATATCCCAGATATGTGCCTGCCTTACCATGTACTTGTATGAAAAAGTATTCCTGTCCTGTTTGTATTGCTTCCTTTGTGTAAAATCTCTGGTGTTCCTGCCAGTCCCTCTTCTTTACTATTAAAAACTGACCACACTAGGCAGGAGAGAACAGTGTAGTCAGTTCAGCTGTGCTGGAAACTCAGCCTGCTCTCCACCAAGGTTGCCTTAAAATTATTTATTTGCATATTCCCAGTAATAATTTTTTCGTTATGAATAAGGCAGCCACAATCCATACATACTGTACATTTATTTTCAGAAGGCACATAAAACAAGACAGTGTAAGTGGTTATCTCCGCTGAAAAGATTTTTATTTATTGTCCATTGAGGGACACCGCATGGTAAGTAACGCTTGGATATACTGCTACTCTCAGAATTTTTGGACACTAGTATACAAAAATCCATCTCTGTATTACAAAGCATCCTACCTTTGTGTTTCACTGGTGTCCTAAGAGGTTGGACGTCTTTTTCCTCAGTTCTGCTGAGGAAATAACACCAGTTGTGACCTGTATTTGTTTTTGTGGTGTGTGTGTGTGTTTTTTTTTTTTTTCTTGCATACTTTCTTGTATTGAGAGGTAAAGACTCGAGAGACATTGTTTTGCCCCTGTACAAAGCATTAGTAATACCTTACCTGGAATATGCAGTTCAAATTTGAACGCTGGCTCACAAAAAGATATTGGCAAATTGGAGAGAGTGCAGAGAAGGGCACCCCCAAATTAAGGCGTGGAGGAATACAGCTATGAGGAAACATTTGCTGAACTGATTCATTTGCTCTTGAGAAGAGGCAACTGAGGAGATGTGATCACCATGTATGAATACATACTGTAAGTGTTCCATGTAGTAAACCTGGTGAAGAGTTATTGACTTTAAGATCGTTACAAAGGACAAGGACTCTACATCTGGAGGTAAACAGATATACACTATATTGTCAAAAGTATTGGGACATCCCTCCAAATCATTGGATTCAGGTGTTCCAATCACCTCCATGGCCACAGGTGTATAAAGTCAAGCACCTAGGCATGCAGACTGCTTCTACAAACATTTGTGAAAGAATGGATCGCTCTCAGGAGCTCAGTGAATTCAAGTGTGGTACCGTGATAGGTTGCCACCTGTGCAATAAGTCCATCCATGAAATTTCCTTGATACTAAATATTCCACGGTCAACTGTAAGTGGTATTATAAAAAAGTGGAAGCAACTGGGAACAACAGCAAGAAGTGGTAGGCCGCGTAAAATGACAGAACGGGGTCATCTCAGTGCGCAGAAGTCCCCAACTGTCTGCAGAGTCAATAGCTAAAGACCACCAAACTTTATGTGGCCTTCAGATTAGTACAACAGTGGGTAGAGAGCTTCATGGAATGGGTTTCCATGGCCGAGCAGCCTCATCCAAGCCTTACATCACCAAGTACAATGCAAAGTGTCGGATGCAGTGGTGTAAAGCACTCTGCCACTAGACTCTAGAGCAGTGGAGACGTGTTCTCTGGAGTGACCAGTCACGCTTCTCTGTCTGGCAGTCCAATGGACGTGTCTGGGTCGATACTTGCCTGACTGCATTGTGCCAAGTGTAAAGTTTGGTGGAGGGGGCATTATGGTGTGGGGTTGCTTTCCAGTAAAGGGAACTCTTAAGGCATCAGCATACCAAGACCGTTTGGACAATTTCATGCTCCCAACTTTGTGGAAACAGTTTGGAGATAGCTCTTTCCTTTTCCAACATGACACAAGTGCACAAAGCAAGGACCATCAAGACATGGATGAGTGAGTTTGAGGTGGATGAACTTGATTGGCCTGCACAGAGTCCTGACCTCAACCCAATAGAACAGCTTTGGGATGAATTAGAGCGGAGACTGCGAGCCAGGCCTTCTCATCCAACATCAGTGCCTGACCTCACAAATGTGCTTCTGGAAGAATGCTCAAACATTCCCATAGACACACTCCTAAACCTTGTGGACAGCCTTCCCAGAAGAGTTGAAGCTGTTATAGCTGCAAAGGGTGGGCCTCACTTATTAAAAATAAGGCAAAAGGAGGCAGGGCCTCAGTGTGACAAGGAAATGTCTATTTGCATATAAAGAGCTCTTCAGACATTGGGGCTGCCAAAGCTATATGGGGGAACCTCCTAGGTGCTTGTAACTGTGCAGGAGGTGCAATACACAGTATAATTAGAGGAATTTGAGATTATTTCTGCCAATATTCGTGAAAACAGTCTGTAAATGAAGACAAATTCTGTCCTTTTATAGTAAGTGAAATGACCCATACTCTATTTTCTTTTCTTTGTTGTGTAGACACATGCAGCAGTGAAGACATGGCAGAATGGGCCATACATCTTTATTGTCAGTGTGAACTTCTCAGCACCACCGACTCTAGATCCTCCCTCCAAGACTGAACAGCCTGCAAATTCAACTGTAGCTGCTATTGCTAATGATTTTTCCTTAGTCTGTAAGGCTTTCCTGTTGTGCATTTACTGTAGATTTATGTTGGTAGTTTTATAGAGCAATAATTTATAGCCCTGACGATGCAAGCAGTGTTAAACTATTAACATATTTAAATTGTTGCAGTTACAAGTGTGGGATTACATGTACTCTGAACATAGTTTGCTTTTGGAGCCAAGAAATTTGCTTTCTACGCTGAATCAATGTGAATTTAACATTCACTATAGTGCTTTGTACTTTAGTTACTACAAGCTGCATGGATGACATTAAAACTTGATAGGCCTGAAAATGCCTTTGAATGGGTATAATTTCAAGACTATCTATTATCACTTTTGGGACATTCAACTCTAAGATTTGTTTTCTAGCACAGTGATGTGGACAGAAGTAAAACTGTATTTTTTTTTCTCTTTAATAGTGTAGGGCAAATTTTAAGTACTTTCAAATCTTTTTTATGTTTAGCTTTTTTTAGGTAATAATGATGCATGCTTTTGTTAAAACTTTAGGAAAATATCTAATATTACAACTCATACGTCCTTTCTTTTATAGTGAAAGTTGAAGTGAAAGGCCCCTATGAATACCTGTCACTTGCTGATTACCCCCGCATGATTGTAAGTATTGCTTGAGTGCCATTGCCATGTCTATGCGGTATACAAAGACAATACATAATTCAGTCACTTTGGGTGTACTGTGCGTGTGTATATGTATGTATGTGTGTGTATATGTATGTGTGTGTATATGTATGTATATATATATATATATATATATATATATATATATATATATATATGTATGTATGTATATATATATATATATATATATATATATATATATATATATATATATATATGTATGTATGTATGTATATATATATATATATATATATATATATATATATATATATATATATATATATATACTCCAGTGCTAGATGTAGAAAGTCTTTTATACAATCCAACAGTTCCTTTTGACTTCATCAACTTGTATATTTAATACTTGGGACCTTTTCCAGATTCTATGACCCTTGATGAATGTGGGTCAAATAAACTTTAATTCCAAACAACCACTGTATCTTCTCTCTCGATTATTCACCAGCCCACAGTCAACAGAAGAGACAAAAACTATATGGTGTTTTGCGTGCCATGCAACACTCAGTTATGCATGTTTGTTCTTCGCTTCCACATGTGCATATACTCTCACCCAATAACAAATCTTCATTCATGTACTGTAACTCCCAACTCCAATTTTCCTCAGCAGAAAAGCTCCTCACATTCCTTAGATCCTCATGACATTTATCCCCCAAAAAGCAAAATCTCAGTAGTGTAATAGGAACACCGTATTGATTGTCACCCTTCATAAAATGTGCTCAGATTTCATTTAAAATTATGCAAAATCTGATTTTCCATGTTCTTTCACTTCAGTTGTGAACCATCCCCCATGCTGAAAATGCCTTAACCCAAAATGTTGCCCAGATAACACAGAGCTGTATTGGTGCAAGTATGTTTATTCATGCCCAACTCTTTCTCCAAATGCGATGTTATCCACCATTAGATTAATTCTTTACATGTAAAAAAAGGAACAGCAACAATAGACACATTTATTTTCTATAAAATGCTCACAGTGGCAGAGAGGTATAGGATTCCAACTTTCAAAATGGTGGAACGGGCACTTCCGGTTTTGGGGTGCACGCATCTTGAGTCACTTCTTACAACAGCAATGTACCCTGGAACTAATGTATACAAACTCCTCAGCTTTACACAGGGGTGTAAGTTTTTATTCTGGAAAATAAATCAAATGTCCATGTTAGAGTGAATATTTTAATTTTCCTGTAAATGTTAAACGTGCATTGGCCACTTCTTGTAATATGCGCTTTTCTCTTGCAATTTTTCAAGGTGATATATTGACTGGGTTAAAGTGATTATCTTGCATTATTTAATGCAAATGTCAAACATGCATCAGTCACCTCTTGTAATATGCTGTTTTCTCTTGCAGTTTTTCATGGTGATGTGCATTGTGTACGTTTTATTTGGGGTCCTGTGGCTGGCCTGGTCGGCTTGTTATTGGAGGGACTTGCTGCGAATCCAGTTCTGGGTAGGAGCTGTGATCTTGCTAGGGATGCTGGAGAAATCTGTATTCTACGCAGAGTTCCAGAACATCCGCTACCATGGAGAATCAGGTACTTTGCCATGCAGTGCATTAAAACATGTATTTTACATCTTTACCTTAGTAGATTTGGAATTAGTGTTTCTTGTACAAAGATATCTACAAATTTTAAAATGAACCTATAGTTTGCCTAGACTTGCAAAAATAATAGGTTCACTTAAGTGTAGGTACCACAATGAGTTTAAATTTACATATTTTGTGTCAAAAACCTTGCTTCCCACATCACACCTTTTCAGCCCAAGCACTGATGAGGGAGAGCTGGCAAATTTGATTTTAGGATCCATACAACTTATAGAATTTCTGGAGCTGCTGTGCTGGATTAGGGGATGGTGAGGAAGGTAGTGTTTAAGTTTTTTTTTTTTTTTTTAAATTGCATTGATACTAGGAGTACAGTAGTACCTCGACTTACAAACACCTTTTGGTTAATGTAATTTTTGGTTTACGAATGAAAATCCATTGATAATAATGCCTCTGTTTACAAATTTTTTTCACAATACAAAGTGTATGTCAGTGCTGATTTTTAAATGCAATTGTCAGCTTTTTTTTTTTTCCTTTGTCACTGTAGCTCACAGAATTAGCTGTCATTTTCCCCGGAGTTAAGGGAAACTTTTTCTTTTAAGAAACTAAAAGGAAACATTGTTTCTCTTAACTCTAATTTCTGAGCTATAGTGAGGAAAAAAAAGCGGTAATTACATTTAAAAACCGTCACCATAATAAATAAAAAAACGGCGTGGGGTCCCCCCCAAAATCCATACCTGACCCTTATCTGAGCATGAAGCCCGGCAGGTCAGGAAAGTGGGGTGGGGCGCTGCATGCTCTGGTAAGGGTCTTGTATGAATTTGGGGGGGGGGGCCCCCATGAAACTTTTTTTTTTTTTTTTTTCATTTTGGCATGAGTGTTCCCCTCAAAATCCATATCAGACCCAAAGGGCTTTTTAGAAAATGTTTTAAATAATTTTTTTAATAGCTGTCAGTAGGGAATCCCACTGACAGCTGAATCATTTAACTCATGGTTTCACTACTAAAATATCACATAACTTGATAAAAAATAACTCAGTATTTTAGTAGCGTTTACTTTTTTCTGATCTCCAGAACGGTTTAATTGGTTTTCAATGCATTCCTATGGGAAACAGCGTTTTGGTTTACAAATTTTTCCCTATACGAAAAGTCCTGCAGAACAAAATTCGTAAACTGAGGTATTACTGTAAAATATAAGACATAAGAAAAATTGATTAAATTACTGGTTTACCCAAAAGTATTATAAATTATAGGTGGAGTCTGGTGGACCACTGGCATCCCTTTTGTCATTGATAATCCAACCTTGAGGTTTTCCTGGCACACCAAAATAATACCCTAGAGATGTAATGAATTGTCAGTTAATTAAAGAAATACTCCATCTGAGAATTATTTATTTATTACAGGTAGTCGTATAGCGCCGTCAATTTACGCAGCACTTTATATTCCTTATATCTCTAGAGCAAGGGTAGGCAACCTTTGAGAAGTGGAGATCTGCCTGAACAACACAAAAGACATCAAAGGTCACTGGGGTTTGATGCCCTTTTTTAAAGAAATTACCAATAAAGAACTAACTAAATAGTAAGGAAAACTTAGAAAAATAAAACAAATGGCACTCTACTAATATAAACTTGGCCTACCTTAAAAGTGGGCAGTGTCAGTAGGGCAGTGGACAGTGTGTGGACAGTGTCAGTGGGGCAGTGGACCGTGTCAGCAGTTTATTTGTAGTATTTAATTTTGTGTATATATAAAAGCTTCCCGTTCATACACAAACTGAAATATAGTAAACACAGTTTACTATGCTTCAAATAGAAATAGCCACAATCAGTGATCGGTATTAATCACTGACTGTATTCATTCAGTAAGGGAAGATGCACCTTCCCCATTCTCTATCCTGACACATCCCTTGCAGCAGCCGGTGGCAGGAGTGAGGAAGGGAACCAGGCGGGGGGTTTCCAATGGAGCACAAGAGGCCCAGGCAACACAAAAGAAGATGAACCTGGAGATGAGGGGCGGCATTTAGTGGAACTGATAGCAGTATTTTCCTCCCTGCTTCATCTGAAATCCAGCGGGAGGCAGAGGAGGAAAAGTGGGCATTGCTGACATTCAGCTGCTGCTGGAAGAAAAATACAGTTCAATGAAATGCCGCCCCTCCTCTCCAGGTTCCAGGGTCAGCAAATAAGAGACACGATCTATTCGTCACATGCCCGTGATCGATGGGTTGCAGACCCCTGCTCTAGGGTATCCTTCTTCAAAAATTAAAATCTTAGCTTTTTTTTTTTTTTTGTCATCCATCTTTGGGTTGTACTGTCACCTACAGGAGTGTTAGGACACTGGCAAAAATACTCTTGCCCCCCATATAACCCCTCCTTTACCCAACATGCCTTAATGTTTTATTGGTGTCCTAGGAAGTTGGACTCCTTTTATTCAGTTTTGCTAAACTTTATTTTGTGCTAGCCTTTTATGTATTTTTTTTTTTCTTAGTGACAAGATTCTATGGTACAAATGTTTCCCAGGACTGCACACCAGTACAGTACATCACAAAACAAATCCTTGATCACAAAATGGCTTCCGCTGGCTCGCCACCTATCAGGAAAGCCACCAGATGTGACCCTGTCTCTTAAGGCCTCCTTTTGTGTGCAAGCCTGGTTAGGGCTGAAACATCAGGAGCTACCTCACTATTTGCATTGTGGAGCACTTTTCAAATTTCTCACCACCACTGGTTTTGCCTTAAAAAGGGTTAAGGGACCAAGAACTGATATCATCTGCTGGTTGGAGCCATGCACACGCTCCTTACTCTGTTTTCTGCTATGGACCTGCCTGGAGGCAGGTCCATCCTGAATACCTGAGACTTTTGCGTCCTATTGTGCCTAGCTGCGTTATCTCTACACGGCAGGAGTATGTCTTCTCTAGGACACTCAGAGGACAGCCCTCCTCTTATGGATGACTCCAGATCATATTCCCCTAGTGGTGGTTCTGGGGGGTATTTATGTGACGAATGCAGTGCCCTACCCCTGCCCTTCTCACCAACTCGCAACAAACAGGTCAATCTCACACTGTCCGTATTAATAATTAATAAATATCATCAAAGTGATAATAATCCACAGGTGACAATCCATGCAATATGTTGTGAACTGCAGCAATACTTCAGTGCTGGTGCTCTGAAACAGTAGGGTAAGAAAACGCACTCACCAGATGCGTAATGGTATTATGCATTGAATCAATCAACAGAGGTCCCCTTTAAGGAAGTGGATTAAAGCCAGGTCTAGGATAATTCTCCCTCTGGCTGGTGCGTGGTACATCAGGTACTCCTGGGCAGTATAGGATCCAGTCAGCCAGAGGTCCCCTTTAAGGGATTAATGGGTGTAGCAGCCTGTGTGACAGGAGCTCCCTCCTCTGGATACTGTAGTGGATCGGGTGGGCTCTATAAATCAATCGCTCCACATAGGGAGACATAGAAAAGTGCCCGTAGTGTAGTAGGTAATCATATAAAGTATTTATTCAGGAATTGCACATCCAAATGGTAAAATCAGAATGACACAGCAGTGAAAAAAACGGACTAACCATCCATAAGCAAGCTGGCCACCGGACCTTTATGAGGCTCCGGCGGCGTGACATCACGGCATATTTGCTCCTCCTTACACGTTTCATGCCACGCACGCCTTCAGAGGGGATGCCAATCGGCATTTTGTCTACAGCTCTGCAGGTGACTCTTAGTCCCTTCTTGGACCTGGTGGTAGCTGTTACCCACCTCTCAATTTGATTGTTTTTGAAATGCCCTGACTGTTTTCAAATACCTGTCCATGAATGAATAATAGATTTTATGATAAGTACAAAATCTAATTTTAATATATACTCATCTTTAACACAACCTTGAATTCAAATCTAAATTATAGCAATTAACCTTATTGCACTTGTCTAAGTCGTTTGCATCTTTTTTTTCCTGGTGACATTCAGTGGGCTGTCCCATTAACTACTATGTCTGCCCAATCTTTTCCACGTATGACTAGGAATGGTTTTGTCATAGTGCAGCGGTCTCCTATAAAAGGTGGTAGGCTACTGGTGTCATCATTTTCTAAATGGAGATGTTCTCTTTTCTGAGTCAAATAGCATTTATTGCATTCCATTATCTACTAGCTGTCAGTATTGTTCTTTTCATCCAGCCTTTAACAATGCCAACATTTGGTACGGTCATACTACATTTTTAATTGCCCATTCTAACCAGCACAGGGTTGTTTATCACCATTTCCACACACAGCTCATAGGTGTTAGACTTGGGTTAGTTTTAGCATCTGTTACTGACTAGGGGTCAGAGCTGATCCAAGAGATAGGAGATTCAGGTTTCCTGCTTGTTTTCTGCAGGGATGTCATATAGAAACTGAGTATAGACAGGATTTCTTCATCTGATTTTGCACACATAAAAACCCTTTTTAAAAACCCATAAGGGGTTTTTCCACAAATCGCCAAAGATTTTTATGCTACAAACTTATATGTTAGTTTAGCTTAACTAAAATTCAGAGCACAAAGTCTATGAATATTGCTTCTTTTTCTTTATCTGTTAGTGCAGGGAGCTGTAATCCTGGGAGAACTGCTGTCAGCTGTGAAGAGGTCCTTGGCACGGATACTTGTCATCATAGTCAGCCTTGGTTATGGCATAGTCAAGTAAGTGTTCAATAGGTGCTCCCGTTTTCTTAATTTAAGTACTTTTTCTTTATTCGGACTATTGTATTAAAAAAATATTATTGTATTATAAAAAAAGGAAATTAATCATAATTGTATTTTAGTTATGAAACTTGTTATGACTCTTTGTCTGCTCATAATTCAGTGTTGCAATAATGATAAATTTATTTTTAATCAGCAAGGACCTTACATTTTATCCTCATCCTCCAGTTGCACTGATTTCAGACTCAAGCATGTAGCATTAAAGTAAGAAATTTCAATCTGCTTGCATGTTCCATGCAATGAAGAACTATTGCGTGGTTGGGGGATAACCTGAGAACTTGCAACTTCTGTGGCAGCCCATACATAATTTAAGTTTTTTTTCTCGTTCAACCAGCAAGTTGAACAAAAAAATGTCTCGTTTTCCCCTTGACACACTTGATGTAGATGGAGGAATCACTTCCACCGAGGTATTGTATTCTGACAGCAGGGAGGGACCTGCCCGCCATCAGAATACACTGATTACCACTGCCGACTTTAGCTGCTGGAGCTGATTGTGTAGAAAGTTTCAAACAGGCTGGTTGTCCAGAAGTCAATCAACTGATCGACTTCTGGACAACCAGCCTGCCTATACATGGATCGAAATTTGCCCGGTTCAGCAGTTTGAATCCATGTATAGCTGGCTTGAAGCATGCCAGGAATGGTAGCACTCAGATATCTGACTTGGCAAAATCACTTCGCAATTAAGGGTGCATTCACACTTGCGAATGCACCCTGTCAGCAGTCATCTGCCAGAACTCCAGCGGGGCTTCCTGCAATTAGCTGTGCGTAGGCATCCCCATTGAAAGCATCTTCCGGATTCCTGCTGACCTGATTCAAGTCTAGCCCCTGTACTTTGTGGCCAGTCTTAGAACGTCTAACCCCCTGTCAAAACAATAAATAGACCTAAATATATAGGCATCTGATGTTATATTTAAATATCATATTTTCCTGCGTTAGGCTCCATGCACACTAGCATTTTTTTACACGCCTAGAACCTGTTGTCAGCATTTCTTTCCCTTCTCCTAGAAGCTAAATAGTGTTATCCTATGTGTACATGCACATTATTTTAGGCTAGTAGTGTTTTTCAAGCTTCAGCTTTTAAGAGCAGAACAAAAAATTGTTTTTGTAGCATTTTGGGAGCATTTTTTCCGGGCAGAAAAAAAAACACTAAACGCTACTAAAATTCTCCTAACCGCTTATTTTTAGCTTTTTTTTTCCATACGTGTACTGTAAAAACGCTAGTAAAATGCTAACACTCCTAAATACTAGTGAGCCTTACTGTTGGTAATTGGGCCACCCATCACATATAAAGTACCAACAAGGAGATATGGCTCAACTTCTGTTGGAAATGTCAACATTTCGATGTAAATTTGGATATCCATATTACTTGATTTACTTATCATGTTGATGTGCAATTTAGTAACCTCTAATTTTGAAGTTTTTTTTTTATCATTTGTCCTGGTTTGTGTCAGTTTTCTTTAAATATTGTGATACATTTCAGCCACTTACACTACTCCAAAATTGTTTACTGATAATTGCAACCACTACAGAGTCCTAAACAATGAAATTGGTACCACTCAAATGCCTCCCAAACCCCTTTCAGTCGGATCAGCATGTGAATAGGCTGTAGTAGACTTCAACAAAATGGTGGCCTGTAGAGAACTCCTCAAACACGCTTCACCCTTTTTAGTGCTCAATTGTAGAGTCCTTTACAGGTGGAGGACAGGAGCTGAAGCCATCTTTTACCTAGCTCATTCACATGAAGTCTCCATGTACACTGGAATGTTGTTTTTTCTGGCATCAGTACCACGTTTAGTGCTTGGACATTTATTCATATCATTGGCCAGAGTACTTGCCATTGAAATGAATAAACACCCAAGCGTTAGAAGCGGTTAACGCTTAGGTGCATTTACATGCGTTTTTGCTGTGTTTAGCATTTTTTGGGGAAAACGTTCCTTTCCTGAACGCAATTCTTCTGCGTTCAGGAGAGGGACGTATAACTGGCCCTAAATTCTGCTGCTGTTAAACTCTGATAACAGTCTGTGTGCATGGACACATAGGCTTTTATTGAGGTTGAGTTCAAGGGCTTTGGCAAAAAAAAAGCCAAAAGCTCTTGAACTCACGTTTATAAGCAGCAGTGTACATGAGGCCTTACGCAACAAGGAGTCAGTGTCTGTGTGCAGACGGCCACCATTTTGTTTAATACTACAGAGTCCTGATCTGAAACATTTCCAAAAAGACTTTCCTTTCAGTTTCTCTTATGTTCATTCTTTGCCAGTAATCTGCCCTTCAAGAACGCTTGTATCAAATAGCTTGTGGCTCTAAAGCTTATAGAATGAGGCATATGTGTTGTCAAGTCTGCAAGTTCACCCTTGTGTCTAACATCAGAACGAGCATATTCTCTCTCAAGGCTGTCCTGCAGTGCACTGCTATACAGGGCTTTGTAGTGTACTCCCTGCGGTGAAGTGTAAAGCCTGCTTAACTGTAGGAGCCAAGTTGGATCTCAGTAGGAAAGGCTAATTTATAATTTTTTTTTTTTTTTTTTAAATCACATTTGAAGTATGTGAATCATATTTGCAAGAAAACCGCACAGCTGAGAAAGCAGGCTGTTATCTGGCAAAATGTTTTTTACAGTTTGATTAAAACAAATCATTGTTCTGTTATTTAATCAGCACAATCAGCCAATTGTGTTGACCATGGGCCTCACTTGCACATCAAGTAGATAGTAGTCACTGCTGATTTTCCAATTATCTAGATAATTCTTTAGTATCTCTAGATGGTAATATCTTTGTTGAATTTGGAAAAAAAAATGTTGCATATGGTCCCTCTTAGGGCCTGTGCCTGATTGGCTTTTGTTGGTGTTTAGTAGGGTTTTAAATGGCCAGTCTGAGAATGCAAAATTTACTTGAAGCAGGTCAGAAGGTCATCTACAATTCAAATGCACCTGTCTAGGACTTTTGAATAATTTCAAGTGTGTCAAACTGATGCCATGGACAAAAGTCCATAGATACAAACCCTTTAATGTGTAGGGTCACTCTTCACACGGCCTTTTTGGGTGAAGATAAACAGGCAATAGATGGGTTGAAATTTGCCAAGTGCAGCAGAGACCATCTGAATTTTGATCCATGTGTGGCCCTCCCCACTCTACAGAAGTTCATTGAGAATGTTGAAAAACTTCTCTTGATCAGTGTCTGCAGCCGCTGAGAGGTGTATTCTGACAGCAGAGTGTGCCACTGTCAGAATTATATCCCACTGGGGAGGATTCCGCCATCCATCTTGTTTGTGTTATTTTTTTTTTTTTTTTTATAACACTTCATTTAGCCCAGTGGCTGAATGGGGAAAATATTACCCATTTATGGCCAGCTATGGATTTAAATTGGGGTTTCCATTTTTCATTTTCTCTGCTTATTTTTGTGTTTTGTAAAGCTCAGTGCTTCTCTGATGTCTAAAATGTGTAATTGCTTGTGAATTTAGTGTTTGAAAACAAATATGAATAATTGACTAAACACTTCATTAACTTTGCATCAGATGAATCCTTAAAATGCAATTGTTTAACTGTTAATCACAGACCCCGTCTTGGTGCCACACTGCATAAGGTTGTCATGGCTGGAGCCCTTTACCTCCTCTTCTCTGGTATGGAAGGTGTGCTGAGGGTCTCAGGGGTAAGTATGATCATTTCAGTGTAGTGGTGTGAAACCTGAGGGCATGTATTGCTCTGAATGTCTGTGTTTTCACTTAGTAAACTCATGCTTCGAGAGTCCTGATAAGCTTTCCAACAGCTGCTTGTATGCAAGTTACTTTCTGTTGTTCTTGTGCTTTTTACCTTTGGCTGCAATAACATTAATTCTGAGCCTGTAGACATATGTATGTTATGCAGATTATAGTTGATCAATTCCCTGTCCTTGGCAAAACTGTACTTCTGTGGTGGTTCACACAATGCTACTACCAGATGTTTAAAAGGAGTGAACTGCAGGTAAAGCTCTAACTTCAAAAATATAAAAGACTTTACTTATGTCTACCTTTTATGTTTACACTCTATTTGGTGGAAATTGTTTTTTTGCTTTTCTAACCCTAGGACCGTATTACAAGAACAGGCTTTTGAAGTATTGCAGCGATATTGCACTTTAGTGTTCTTACAATTACATTTCAATTCCTTCATGAACCTAAACAACATGAAATGCTAAGTGCTTTTGTATTCCTTGCCACATTTCTTGCCAAAGCTTTTTGTTTGTTTGGTTTGTTTTAAACCAGCAGTTTCCAGCAAGTGTACTATTCTATAGGGATGGATAGGACTACATGCAAAAGTCTCAAAGGCCTTAAATTTTAGAATATAGAGTTCTGAAACTCCCATTTTAGAACCATAAATACTACATGGACATAACCGGATGTTATGTAGGTGTACCGATGCTTTTCACCCCGATTAAGTTGTGTAAATAGTATTTATCCTTTAGTTTCAGCCCTCTTTCAGACAGCTGGATAGCTGCAGTCACTCGAGTCTTGTGGCAAAAATTGGCAGATTCTTGCTGCTGGAGTGACTGGGTCATGCGATGAGCAGCGGCTGCTCAGTTCATTTAAACTAGTGGCGGCAGCTGACAGCTGTGGATTAGAACAGATGTCCAGGCCTGGACACAGCTGACTGCATCCAGGCTCAATGTCTGTCGCTAACCACAGGTAACTTCTCTGTGTACAGCTACATGCAAGCAGCTGCGCCAATGTCAGTATGCCATTAATTTAAATGAGCTGATTGGCTGCTTCTGATTGCTTGACCCAGTCGTTCAAGCAACAAGAATCCGCTGATTCTTGCCCCAGGAATCAAGCGGCAACAACTACCCCGCTGTGTGAGGCCTAAATTGGTACTTTTCTGTTTCATAAATGTTCCAAAAGGGCTTATCAGATGCAGATGGTGGCTGGTGTTCTGAGTCATAGGCATTAGGCAATACCTCCAAGTTTCTTTTGCTCCCATTTTCATAAATCAGCAGTGCTGTCAAGACAGGTACAGTCCGGCACTCTATGGTGCCTACTATGCTCCATCGTTTTTTCTTGTATAAATACTGACTATGATGATCATTCTTTATATAGGCTTAAGTCCACATCCAGTGATGCAGTCTGGTAATAGGTGTCTTAGGCACACAGTGCTGGTTTGTGTGATGGAGAGAAAGTATAAATACTCTCCCTTTGATCCAATTGAAGCAGCTTTTTTAATAGTTACGTTTTTATTCGTCCTGAATAAAAAAATTCACAAACTACATTTACAACAAAGTGTGTTGAAGAGTAAAAAAAAAAAAGACATAGTAAAGATTTATAAGCTTATCACCCATTCAGACTGTGCAGTGGAGGGAACAGGGTAGACATCTAGACGACGACATGGATTAGGCACATATGCGGAAAGAGGGGAGGAAGTAGGGTATGGTAAGTAACCTCTGGGTGTTCAACAGTCTACCACAACTGCCTTTCACATAACTGCCAATAACAATGGTGTTGAAGGATAAGTCCACCTTTGGGAAATTGTCACGTTCCACTCGTTTTTAGGGTGGAACATGTAACATTTTCCCACTCCTGCAGCCACTCCTCGATCCACTGATTATAGTGACAGTGCGCCGGGGATCTTCTCTCCACACCCACTGTCACAATCTTTTAAAAATCGTGGCCTTTCATTAACCGCTTTCTGTCCGCTGTATTGCAGAAGTACTGCTACAGGGTGATACAGGTTCTCAAAATCACGTTTATATATGTGATTTTGCATATACGGGTAGGGGGCACATGCGCCCTACCCACGCTTCCATTTGCGACCTCGGCTGTCAATCACCGGGTCCCAGCCGGTGTTTACTCGCCAGTGCCCAGTGATTGCCGAGTTAACAAAATAGTTCTCTCCCCTGTCAGCTCCTGCACACTGCTTTGCATGTTTTTTTTTTTTAGCAAAATCATGTAGCAGAATACATTTTGGCCTAAATTTATGACAAAATTAGATTTTTTTTTTTTTTTTACTGGACATGTTTGATATCAAAAAGTCAAAAATAGTGTGTTTTTTTTCCTCAAAATTGTATTTTTTTTTTTTTTTTTTTTCAGTGCAAAAAATAAAAAATGTACAGGCGATCAAATACCATTGAAAGAAAGCTCTATTTGTGGGAAAAAAAGCCGTAAATTTCATTTGGCCTTTCATTAAATAGTCATGGTCATGCAGCGTTGCATGACCACGCAATTGTCAGTTAAAGTAACGCAGCACCGTAATGCAAAAAATGGCCTGGTCAGGAAGGGGGGTAAATCCTCAGGAGGGCAAGTGGTTAACAGAGTTCTGCGAATGGGAAAACTACAACTAACGTCAGCCTTTTGCGGCTGATGGCTTGTAGTTTTCAGTTAACTACCAGAGCACTGGTGAGCGCTCTAGGTAGTTCATTGATGGTTCCTGTCATTGTGTAACTGCCTGCCTGTACGAGCAGACCACTTGCGCTGACAGTCTGCAAGAGCCTGCTGATTGTGGGTGCAATGCTGTACAGGATCCTAATAAACAAAAAATAAATACATTTTTTTTTTTTTCTTTTTTTTTACTTGCAAAAAGATGTGCATTTATTTTTTTTTCTTTTAAAGGTGAACTTATCTTTTAAATTTTTATTGCCAATGTATAAACCCAAATGGAATAGTGCACTCATAAGACAGCCAATGTGGGTGGACATTTCCTGTAATAAAGTAAAATGATAAGTAGGATCTTCTATGATGTAAAGATGATGCGGACATCTGGGTTAGGTAATAAGTTTTTTTAAACTGTAGCAAATTAGTCCTTTTCCAGCTCATTATCATTTACTGTCCCTATAATCTTTTTGTGTCTGCAGGAAAACACTGATTAAGTGGGAGGCTGTTTAAGTACATATTATAGTTAATGATCTGAAAGCTGAACTATGCCTAGACCGTCAGCCCCTTCACAGCTGAACACAGGGGGTCCATGCACACTGGGCTTAAAAAAGCTGCTTCTACAGGAGTTTAGCCTGTGTAAACAGCACAATGTTATCGTATCCATGTACATTAAGTTGTAGAGGCAGAAAAAAAACCCTTCTGGTTTGCATTTTTGAGAGGAGTTTTGTGGCAGAAAAAACGATAAACGCTCCCGAAAAGTTGTTAAAACAACACTCCATATGAGCATTTTGTTCTGCTTAAAGAACTAGCTTTTTTAAGCCCAGTGTGCATAGACTCTTATTCAGCTTAGTGGTTTTTATATATCCCTGTGGTCTAAAAGATGTTTCCACCATTTAGCAACTTATTTCACAGCACATAGAATGCTTAGAATGATTTCCAAAAGTGTTTATGCTTCAAAATTACAGCCCAGTGTCCCCAGTTTAGTAGTACAGACACAGTGAGGAATGCATTTTATCTTTGTTTTTTGGTATTAGGAGGAAACCAAGCATGTGAACCTGTGGAACACTTACAAACGCCATACACATACTGTCCCTTGTAGTAAATGAACCTGGGGAAGCACTGCAATGCTTACAAATTAACCATTATACCATTGTGTTTCCCTGTAGTAGTGATTCGTAGGAATATGTGGACTATTTATTTTAGACATTGACACTGCAATTTCGGTATGAAAGTTCATGGACAGTTGAGAAGTAGGGAAAGGTAGTGGGTTGCTCATTCACACTTGTGGGTATGTTAATTCATGTGTTTTTGTGTATAAAGACAGCCCCTTCTTTTCGAATAGTCTTGTAGTGCACCTCAACACACCAAAAAAAATTTGTGTAGTAACATATGATGCAGTAATGTGCGGTACAATGTCATATGTTACTGCACAAGTGTGGAGCCAGCCTTAAAGAACTGATGGAGGATGGAGCCTTGCCTTGATTTTATAACACAGCATTTACTTTGTAAAGAGTTTTGTTTTATGTTGAGATATTGCTGCCTGTGTGTTATACCATTGTGTCTCCATAAAACATAAGCCCTGCTGTCTTATTTTGTAAGATCATGTGTTTAGTTGTTATATTAATAACACTTTATGCAGTCTGCGCAGCATGCCTTGTCATACGTGCTCACCACTAACATTTGCTTGTCTCCATGACATTAATACCATATGCTCTCTTGATCTCTGCTCTAGCATTACTTCAGTACCGTAGCATTGATAGCACATCTGGCTCTGTCATTGATTGATGCCTGCATTCTCTTTTGGATATCCTTTTAGCTGCCATGTATTCTCATGGGCCTGTTGTAGTATCTTCATTCTTTCATTTTAGCATCCATTAAATTATCTCCACTGCTAGATGGTCTTTCAGGCTAATTTTGTTTATGGAAAAAAAGCACCAGATGGTTTGTCTTTAAAAGGCAAGCAAAAAGTATCAAATGGTTTGCTTTTAGTAGGCAAGAGCAAAGTGGTTGTAGAATGCTTTCTCATGCCAGTAATTGTTATGGCTTCCCCTAAAATCTGGGTAATATACAAGGCCAATGTGCATCTCATCATGTGTTGTAAATGCATGAATTTATGTTCTTGATATTTATTGTAAGTGCTCAGTCTCAAATGTCTTATTAAGAGTGACTTCACTTCTATTTCCTTGGGTTATTGCTCATATAACATACTAAAAAGAAATACCTAATGTATCCATACACGATGGCACTTTTTCGACTACTAGGTGCAGCACAATTGTTTTAATTAAGCTTTACATTATCCTCCATCACCAAACTCGACATCTCTGTTCAACCTAGAAAGCATTGGCATATTGCATATCCAAATGAATGCGAGTGCACCAGCAAAAGAGAAATCTTCAGGAAAGAGTTAACCTTTTATCAATTGTCAATCAAGTCTCTGCTTCCATTCGGCAACTTTGGGTTATACTGTGGCTTGCAATAGAAATGGACACTAGGCAGTAATAAAATACTGGAGGCCAGGCCCTAGGGTCTAAAGCTCCTATTGCACCATTCCTGCTCAGTTTTTCTTAGTGTTCTTTTTTTTGTTCCCCTAACATTCAAAAGATCTTATGCATACCTGCTCTTTGAAATGGTTTTGCACCAGTGTTAATGTCGTCGTTGAAAATTCTTTTATCATCGTTTTCGTCAGCTGCATGTTTTCAATGACGAAAAACTAAACGAAAATAATATTTTAATCAAGTAAATTGACAAAAATTATGATGAAAATCTGTTCCAATTTTCACCAACGAATGAAAATGTGAGGGATGGACATTTACCAACTTGAACTCCCACTTTCCTCTGAGCTCTGCCTGTTAAAGCCCCACCCCTCTGACTCTGTCGGCAAGCTGTCTGCCTGCTGCCTGGGAGTTCTGGAAAAATGCCCTGTAAACCACAGAAGAGGAACTTCTCCGTCAGATTTGTGTCTGTCTGGATGTGATGTGGTGAGTGTGAGTGTTTCCCCTCCCAGCAAGGTAGCAGTGCTTAGCACTGTGAAAAATAACAGCCTCCTCAGACCAGTTCTCTGCCCTGTGCACTCCCTCACTCCCATTTTCTTCCCCATCCCCACTTGCAGGTCACCTCCCCATCTCCAAAGTATAATGCACCCTGCCCTGTGCACTCCCTCATCCCCATTTACCTCGCCATCCCCACTTCTAGTCACTTCCCCATCCCCAAAGTACAATGCACTCTGTCCTGTGCCGTCCCTTACCCTCATTTATTTCCCCATCCTCCCTTTCAGGTCACCTCCCCCACCCCTAAAAACTATACTGCACACTCCCATTTATTTATTTTTATATCAACTCCCTCCTCATTCACCACACATCCCTGCTCCGCTGAGTCACTGCTCTGCTCTCTACTAAACTGAACCATCAGTCATTTCCCTTTCATATACAGTTCCAAAATGTACTGGAGATTTTAGTTGACTAAAATGTACTGGAGATTTTAGACTAAAATATAATGTTTTCCCTACAGCAGTCCTGCAGTTTTTTTCTGCAGTGAAATCCCTGTATGTGTTCCAGGCAGTACAGGTTTCCCTAATTGAGAAAACACATACTTTTTTTTTTTACATGTTCCAATTCACACAGCATAACTTATAGAAATATTTAAACATTTCTGTTATACACTTTTTACTTGTTCATTCTGAAAATTTTAAAACGGAAGTGGTCCCCCTCCTATATGATGTTAAGGAGGAGCCTAAGAAAGTAATGTTTATCAGAATTAATCCTGTCTGTACTATGTTGGCAGATCTCACAAGTTGTAAACTAAATGTAAACACTGTCTGTCCAATGATTTCAAGGCTTTGATTCTGTATTGCATGTTAGTGAAGGAAACGAGTCTCTCCCCACTGTGTCCCTCCATATTCACTTTAAATTAGTTTAGAGCAGTGGTTCTCAACCTGTGGAACCTCAGCACCCATATATGTCTTTGGTCAATCGGTCACGACCCAAAAAATTATTTAATTTCTGAAACATAATTTCACAAAACAACTTGTGCAGTATTCTACAATGTACATACTTTTAAATAATAAAACACTTTTTTATTCTTTTAAAATAATTATTTTAAGCATACATAAAATAACAAAAATCCACCAATACCCCCTAACTTTTAAGCACCTCACGCTAATGGCTCATTTAGCTGATCAATGCCTCCTCTGCCTATTACTCTCTGAAAGGCACACTAAGTTAAGAGTATTAATGTCTTCAAGTGCTTTTTAAATAATATAGTTTGTGCAATACTCGTGAGGGTTTTCAGTACCCCCAATTTCATGCACTCCTTCAATCCCCCTTCCATGCCCTGCTTTAGCCCACCCTTTCATGCCCACACTCATCACCATTGCTTTTCCTGTTTCACTTCTTTCAAAATGTGCTCTCCATCACCCTTCCACAACCCAGCAAAAAGTACCTAGCTGAGTCTTTCCCTGATGTCCAGTGGTGCTTTTCTTCTCTTCTGCATGGCTGGCTGGCTGTAAGGAAGTGTAGTTATATGTCACTTCCTCCCAGCGCTGCGGAGGAAAGAGGAATGAGCGCAAAGGCCATGGGACCACTTTGTAAGTGCACCGCGCGCAACTTCCTTAATGGAATCAGCTTGTCGCAATAATACAAATATTAAGGCCGACCATAGTTGCGGTCCCGGCTGTCTTAACATTTATATTGGTGCAGCTGGCAGTTTTTATTAAGCTATGTTGTCAGGGCACTAGACGTTTTATTGGGGCATTATAGAGCCTAGGGGGCACTTGTCCCGCAGCCCAGTTCTCCCCTGGTCGCAACCCATTATTTGAGGAACATGGGTTTAGAGTAGCTTGCAGTCTGCCCCAAGGCCTGTTCCAAAAAACAACTAGTAAGGTAAGTAAATATTTTGTGTGTGTGTATACGTACACTGCTCAGCATAAATGAGTACACCCCAACAGATTTGTCAGAAAACCTTTTCGTTCCTTTCAGAATCAACATTTTTTATGGGACAATATACTACAAAATACTCCCACAAATGCGGGCCATTGATTTCAAACAAAATTTGTTAATTTGCACACACAAAGTATTTTTCCTAACACATTCATTCAAGACCATGTTGCAAAACGATCACTTCCCAAAGAAAGTCTCTGGAGCAAAACTAAATTTTAGAGGACAAAATTCTAATCAACAAGAATTCAACTACAGGTGAGTCTAATTGTCCATTACACAGGTGTCCAGCAGACAGTTGATTATAAAAGGGTGTTACTTAACAAAGAAAACCCCTTTCATGCTGTCAGTAATGGCACCACATGGAAGAGAAATGTCACAAGGCCTGAGAAAAAAAAAAATTTATTTACACAAGAAAGGTGAAGGCTACAAGAAGATCGGCAAAGCTTTACAGAATACTGTAGAAAAAGTGATGCATACATTTAACAAAGAGGGAACTGCAACCATCTCACAGAGATGTCCACGGAAGCTAATACCTCGCCATGCAGGTTCACTACAGTTAGCTAAAGAAGTAGAAAGCCAAACTGGGGAGATTGTTTCCTGTAACACAATACGGTGTACACTACAGAGGAATGGCATGCACAGGTGTCATCCAAGAAGGAAGCCTCTCATAAAGTCCATGCACAAAAAAAGCCTGCCTAGAATTTGCCAGGGCCCATGCTGAAAAAGACTACTGGGACTCTGTACTCTGGAGTGATGAGACCAAGATAAATGTTTTTGGAACTAAAGGCTTCAAACCTGTATGGCGTCACAAAGGTGAGGAGTACAAAGAAAAATGCATGATGCCTACAGTGAAACATGGTGGTGGCAGTGTCCTTCTCTGGGCCTGCATGTGTGCTGCTGATGTTGGGGGAGCTACAGTTCATTGATGGTATCATGAGTTCACAGATGTACTGCTCTCTATTGAAAGTGAAGATGCTACCATCACTACGTGCCCTTGGTTGTCATGCATTTTTCCAACATGGCATTGATCCAAAACACACATCTAATGCCACTGTTGCATTTCTGAATAGGGTGAAAGTGATTCAGTGGCCATGTATATCTCCTGATCTGAACCCAATCAAACACCTATGGGGAATTCTGAAGACAAGTTGAGTATCACTCTCAATCCAGCATCCAGACTCTAAAAGAGGCCGTTCTTGAAGAATGGAAAAAGATCGATGTTGCAATATGTTGCCAACTTGTTCATTCCACTTAGAAGACTTGGCGCTGTCCTTACAAATCATGGAAGTCATACAAAATACTAGATGGAGTAGTTTTTTGTTGTGGGGTGTATTCATTTTTGCATCAACTAATTTGAGTAAAACTGAAGACTTTGAAATCTAAGTTTTATTATTAACCTTACTTTCATGTAATGAGCTAAATAAATGTTCTATAAAACTCCACTTTGTCTAAATTATGCAGATGCAAAAAATGCATATTTTATCATTGTTAACATTTTTTAGTATATGAAAAAACTGCCCCAGTAGGCAAGAGGTTAATGGAAGCCCTGTCCTTCAGTGAACAAAAGAGAAAATAGGGTTTTTGGTACACACTATAAAATCCTTTTATCAAAGTCCATTGAGGGACACTGCTTCCTTCCCTCTATTCTTTTTCTCTCTTTTGCATTGCTTGCTACAAATGAGCAGGTTTTGTGTGGGAAGGAGTAGTCCCTAGTGGCTGGGATCCAGTTTCTATGATGTTTCTAATGTCCATTTCTCCTGGGCAGCAGTATAACTCTAGGCTGCTTAACGGATGCTGTGTTCCTCAATGAACTTGAGAAAAGTTTTCTTTACGGTGATTAAAAAAATCGTACTTTTCCACTTCAGCATAT